CCTGGAGGTTGGCAACAACTGACAAACACAGAAGCTCACGACATGTTAGGTTCATCTGATGGCTGCTGGATCTACCCTTACCCAAACTCAATACCACACTCATGTTGTCCACAAGAAAGAGTATACGTTTTCCGTGCGTGCTCGTGGACCTCAGCTCGTGACGGAGGCCGATCATGCATGCTCGGCCCTCGGCCCTCAGGATGCCTTCGGCCCGGGCCCATCGGCCCCGGCACGCCAGCTTCCAGTTCTCGAAGGCCCCGATGTCGTCCCGCGTCAGGCTCTCGAAGTCCGCTCTCCGCCGCCGGGCGGGGTCTGCGGGGCTGCCCAGCGCGGCCGCCCTGGCCGCGACGAGCCCCTGCACCCCGTAGCGCCACTTCTCGGCATGCCCGCAGCAGCGCCGGACCTTCTCCGCGGGCCACTCCTGCGTGACCACGCCGTAGCCGCCGGCGTCGTCCAGCCCGGCGCCTGAGGAGTCGGTCGCCACGACCGCGGCGTGGAACGGGCGCTTCGGGTCCGCGACGGCGAAGGCCACGAGGGCGGCGGCCTGCCGAAGCTCTCGTTCGGCCGAAGGCCACAGGCGCCACCTCTTGTCGCCCGCCTTCTCCGCCCAGGCGTAGACGCTGCTGAAGGCGCTGAGGAGCTCACGCCGCGGAGTCGCGCTCCACGTGTAGTGGCCGACCAGGCGCCGCATCTGGCGTCCAGTCAAGTAGCGCTGGTCCGCAGCAAACAGCAGGGCCGCGCGCAGCCTCCAGATCCTCTCGCGGCTGAGCGAGATGCGGCCGGAGGTCCGATCGAACTACATCCCCGTGAAGGTCTGGGAGTCCGAAGGGCCTTCGACCCCCTTGGCCACGGCGACTCCGCCGGCCTCGACCGCCTCCAGGTCCGCCCCAACCACGGCCGCGCCATCAACGTACACGGCGGCGCCCGGCTCGGCGGCGACGTCGGGGGCCGAGTGGCGGTCTAAGAACATCCGTCCGTCAGCGAAGCCGGCGTCCTCCGCGGCGTTGCGGACCATCTCCTGACAGAAGAACAGCGCCCAGTTGAACCCCATGGGCAGCACCTCCATGCGAGGGGAGATGCGGATGCCTGCGGGGAGTCCAGGGGCCAGATCAGGAGCGGCCTCGGTGATCCACTTGGCGTCGATGCTGGGCAGGATGAAGTAATCGTTCATGCCGGGGGGGAGCTGGGTGCGGTAGAACGCGTTGTTGACGTCGGTCTGAGACATCATCAGCTCCGCCTCGGGCGGCAAGTAGAGAGAAGACCAGCTCGATGGTGTAGAGAGCTGGGTGTGGCAAGGATCCCAAAACAGCTTGTTTGCTCGTCGAGTGTCCAGAATGAGTCGGAGACGATCTGGACCTTTCTTTACAAAGAAGACTCCCACGGTGGATGGCCTCTCGCTCGTGAAGGAGACGAGCCCTGAACGTGCCATGTCCACCAGAAACTCGGCGTACGTGCCGCTGTCCCGAATCAGCTTGGGGTCCGAGTACGGCCGCACTGCCCCAGAGAGGTCCGGGTTGGGGTGCAAGAGACAGTCTCGCCACCCTGTCCACATTTGCAATGCCGGCCCTCGAAGACAAACGTCGCCACGAGCAAGGTCAGCTCCAGGTGCCGGCAACGAGACTGCGCCTCGTCGATAGGGTGAATGTTCTGCCGAGGGCCCAGTGCACCCTGGCGCCGATCCGCACAGCGCTCGAAAGGCCGCCGCGGGCTCGAGCATGGGCGGCCCAGCTCGCTGCACCACGTCACGGATGTGGTCCAGGGCGAGCTGCTGCCCAGCTGAGACGGAGTGATGCTGCTGTACCTCGCCGTGGAAGTACAAATTATTGACTGTGTCGATGATCTCATTGGCCCAGGACGAGCAAGCTGTGCGCCGACGAACACGTGACCGCACAGCGCGACTGACGCCTGCCAAGGATGGCGAGGCGTCTGAAGCCGCAGGGCCCCTCAGAGGGAGGAGCTCCCGCGGCGCGATCATCAGGGCGACTGGGTGCCTCGGCCGCGGCCCTTGGCCGCGGCCTGCCTCTCTCCCGTGGCTGGGTCGCCCCCGCCGCCGAGGTCGAGCTTTGCCTGGGGCCTCGAGAGCTCCGCCGCCTGCTGCTTGATCTTCGTCTCCATCGCTGCCGCGGACGCCGCGGCAGCCCGCGGGGCGCCAGGCGCTCCTCGCGGAGCTTGCGCCTCTCCTTGAGCACCGCCGACTCGCGGCGCAGCTCGTCCGAGATGTGGGCCTGCAACTCCGGGGCCACCATGAGCAGCCCCCTCGTCTCAGCCGCCCCCATGTAGAGGAACTCGTCCTCCGCCGTGTCGTCCAAGAGTGGACGCCCCAGCACGCGCTCTCTATATCTCCACTCCGTCATCTGAGCGCGCCTGAGCATGAGCTCGAAGCTGGCCAGCTCCCCGATGTTCAATTGGTCATAGGTGATGGCCAGCTCCAACTCTCGCATACACAACTCGTGCTCGGAAACCCCAACGTCGGCGGTCGTGAGACCGCACTCGGCCTTCCACTTCGTGTGCCTCGAACGTGGATGACTGTCCTGGTCGCCCACGAAGTTGGCACACCAGACAGTCGTACGTGGCCCGCGCACGGGCCACTCTCGCCATGCCGTCTCTGTGAGCCCCTTGAGCGAGTCCTTGAAGTGCCGCTTGCGCACACCCTCGACCTCCACGAGCGGCAAGAGCCTGGCGTCCACCTCCGTGTCATCCTCAGGTGAGGCCTTCTCGACCTCCCTTAGCAGGAGCAGCTCGCCCTTCTGAGCCGCCAGCGCGAAGCCGCCCGCGGTGCAGTACTCGTCCACATCGTAGTCCTGCAGCGGACGGCGCTCGGGCGTTGGGCCGCTGGCGGCCTGAACCTGCCAGCGCATCCCCACCGCGGACGGCAGGGCACCCGAGCCTCGCACAAAGCTGCTCGGAGGAGCTGCCCCAGCCAAGCCCGCGCAAGCTGGGAGTGGCCCCTTCCTGCTCATCCGTCGCAGCACCGAGACCGTCTTGTCCGCCACTTGTGGGGCTGCCTCGAACAAGGAGCCGCCCAGCGCGAACTGCAGCGCGTCGATGAACTCCTCTGGCGTCGGGGCCCACTCCTGACCGTAGATCCTGCCCCCGGCTCGCCAGGTCCTCCCGAACTGCAAGGACCCGGTCCGCTCTGGCAGGCCCATCTGATCGCACAGCGCCGATCCCCGGACTCCCGGGGGCTCCAGAACGTGAATGTACACGTCCCCGTCTGGCGTGAGAGCGTACCAGATGTTCCCGTTCTTGCCCGCTGCTTTCAGACCAGTCATTTGGAGGTCGTTCTCGGCGTCGGCGGTGGTACCAGGACAAAGGAGCACGCGAGTCTGCCAATCCTCTCCGTCCTTCCACAGGACGCCGATCCTGTGACCAGCTCGCCAGGCGGCCATGGCTCACGGCCAGGCCCTTGCAGCAGAGGCACCCTCCGATACAGCCCAGCAGTAGTCCTGCGGCGAAGAGACACGTGAAGGCAACTCTCAGGTCGCCGATGCTGTTTGCTATCACCACACAGTTGCCGGCCTGGCCCGCCCACTGCGATGCGAGCCCGCCGGCGACGGCGGCCAACTGGTGGGCCCCCGAGAGAATGTGCCCGAGGGATTGCATAGGCGGTGGCCGCAAATTAAAAGCTTGAGCAAAAACGGTGACGGACCCACGTCCGTCCCCTGTCGACTTGCTGACTTCTGCACACCGTGTGTAATTACAAACCGCCAATACTCGAAAAGGAAAACATCGGCCTGGGGATGCAGGTTGGGAGGGGGAAACTGGCCCGGGGGGCGGGGGGCCTAGCGCCCCAGCGTTGTAGTCACGCCTCGCTCCCAAACGGGGCCAATTCGCACGCGCTGGTGCGCGCGCGGTTTGTCGGTCCGTCGGTCAGGTCGTCGGTCGGTCGGTCGTTCTTCGTCGGTCGTCGTCGTCGTCGTCGTCGTCTCGGTCGCTTGTCAGTCCGTCGTCGTCGGTCGGTGCTCAAAACATGACACATGTCCCATAACGCCTCCGGTTCGTGCCAATGCGGTTTAGAACTGTACTACCAATTGTCCCAGTGCAACCCTACCTAGGAGTTGGAGCATCTAGGAAAGCAACATCTACATATACACCGACAGCTACATTAACATCTACACCTGCATCTACATCGACATCAACGTCAACAGCGAGACTCACATCTGGACCTACATCTACACCTACACCTTTGCTTTTATGATATGATGTGCTATGCTATGCTATGCCATGCTGCGCTATGCTATGCTATGCTATGCTATGCTGCGCTATGCTGCCCTATGGTATAAAATGCCATGATAGGGAATGATATACATCGTTATGCTATGCCAGGTTATGTTTTGTTATGCTGCGCTAGGCTATGCTATGATATGCTATGCTATGCTATGCTATACAATGGTGCGCTATGATATGCAATGATATGTTATGCTATGATGTGCTATGCTATGATATGTTATGATATGCTGCGCTATGTTATGGTATGCTATGCTATGCTATGCGGCGCTGTGCTAGGCTAAGCTAAACTATGCTATGCTATGACATGCTGCGCTATGCTATGTTATGCTATGCTATGCTATGCTGCGCTATGATATGCTGCGCTATGCGATGTTATGCTATGTTACGCTGTGCTATGCTATGATATGCTATGCTATGCTATGATATGCTATGCTAATGCTGCGCTGCGCTGCGCTAAGCTAGGCCAGGCTAGGCTAAGCAAAGCTAGGCTAAGCTAAGCTAGACTAGGCTAAGCTAAGCTAAACTAAGCTAAGTTAAGCTAGGCTAAGCTAAGATGAGATAAGCAAAACTAAGCTAAGGGGGCGCAACTGGGGGAACCGCGGGGCGGATACTGGGGGAACCGCCCGGGGCGGTGTGCACTGCCTGGCCCCTTTAAGAAAGAGAGTAAGAACCCTTCTAGGCAGAGCCTAGGTAGGGAACAATATTCAACTGACTGTAGAAGGAGGTAGCTTCTACAGACAAGGCCCTACATATACAGACAAAGCCCGCGCCTGCTAAGAAGCTAAGGTACTTCTAAGAAGCCTTCCTCATTCCCCCTACCCCCTCTGCGCGTGGCTGACCTGGCCCCCCCGGCGCCACGCCCTGGTGCTCGAGCACGCGCTGCTCGCCGTGGCCACCGCCGAGGGTGCATCTGCCCTCGGCGGTGCGCGGCGGCTGCCGCCCGCAGGCCGGCAAGCAGCCGAGCGCGCTCGTCGGGCGCCGGCGCCCTCCGGCGCGGACGAGTCCGCTGCATGCGGCTGCAAGTGGCGTGACGGCTGCATGCGGCTGGCTATCTCCGGTGCCTCCTGGCGCAGGGTGCGGCCGTGCATCGATGGGGAAGGTGTCTGGCGGTGGAGATGGAGCTGGCTGCGTGCAGCAGATTTCGCAACGCCCCCTTTCGTCCGCTCTGGGTCTTCTCTCGCACTGGGGTCACATGATCGATCCCTGACCTGGTCACTTCTCAGTGTGATCGTCACTGCGGTGCCTCAACCGTCTCAATGCTGCAGTGGTGACATCCTGCCTTCGTCAACAAAAAGTCTGCTTGGATCCCGAACCCCCGATCTGTCGCGCCAGACCCTGGTGCGTTCGAGTGCGCAAGGCCCACCCATACGGCTCCCGATGGCCCGATGGCGGTGCTGGCCTTCTGGAGAGCTCAAGCTCACCCACATTCCGCTGAACACATCCGAAAACATGTCCCGATGCTGCGGCCGACTCACAACTGACAACGGCGGAACGACGCATGCCCCGTCGATGTGAATCTCGAGCGCGAACGGCAGATGCCTGTCTTCGAAATCATCGGTGACGACAAAGACGTCCCTGCAGGAGATCGTGCGGACCTAGAGGAATAACACAAACTACATGGACATAAGCTCTCGAAGCTCCAAACGTGTACGCTTATGCCGTTCGTTCTTCTTCGAGGACCGTGTCGCGCAGGCGCCGTGCGCTGTGCAGCTTGCAGCTAGAGCGCACGATCGCCGTGACGTCCACCGTGAGCCCCTGCAGCTCCTCCACTGACCACTGCACCATGTGCCCGCGCCGCAGACCGTCGATGCGGTGGCTCACGACCTGAAAGACAAAACCAGGACGATGATCAAATCGCGTGGGGACGAATCGAGAATCTCTGAGATCTGGCGGCTCTGGGTGTCTCGGGCGCCGCGGCCTTCTCAGAACGTTCCAGAACGCTCTGAGAGCGTCCCAGAACTTTCTGGAACGGATTTGTCCTCGCCCTGGCCCCGTCCCGGCCTTCCCCACGTCGAGGTCGTAGACCGCCATGGACTCCTTCGGGCCCATGCCGGGCGCCGCGCACGGCGACCCGCTGGCCGGCGGCAAGCCTGGGGCAATGCCAAGGGGGGCCACCACTACGCAGGGGGATCGTCACTTCCTCGAGGAAGGGCCACCTCCTCGAGTCAGAGGGACCCCAGAGCCCTCCAAGATGACCCCAGGCGTCCAGAAGCCTCCTCGAGCCTCGGTCCTGGAGCCTCGACTTCCAGGAGGATCTGGTGACCCCCTCCTCAGCGGCAGGAGAGCCCAGAATCGAATCGACAAGTCGGATCGGCGATCGAAGTGAATCGGATCGGCGGATATCGGTAGGCTGATGAGCCTCCACTGGGAAAGCGGAGAGCCGAATCGAAATTGGAAGCACCGACGTCGACTCGAAGCGAACAGGAGGAATCGAAACGAGGCCTGCCCGTGGACGTTTGAGGATCTGGGTCCAGGGCGGAGCCGGAACCTGCGGGCTCCGTGAACTCTTGGGCGCCGACGGCACTCGGGGAAGGGTGGCCCGGATCGAGACATCAGGCCGCTCGGAATTTCTGGGCCTCTCGGAGGCCCACTCGCTGGCCTGGGACGGCTCGGGTCAAGAAGCTGGCCCTGCGTTCCTTGGCACTGCCCGAGAGCGCCGCCCAGGGCGTGCCGCTGCGGGGAGGAGGCCGCCGCGGCGCCACCGTCTGAGCCGCCGCCCTCGGGGACGCCACGAGACAGCGAGATTCCGCCACTCCACGGACCTCTCTTGGCTGCGCGCACTAGATCGCCGACCCAGACATGCTCTCGTCGTGAAGGAACTCACGACGGGCAGGTTTTGGCCAGTTTCGGCCTCGCGCGGGCCCTTGCCGGGCATCGGGAGCGTCAAAACTGGCCCTGAAAGGGTCGGGGCTTCCGGGAAAGGGCGAGTTGAAAAAATCAAGACATCGCATGCCTGGGTCGCCGATGGGTCGGCGATAGCAAATCCGCACGGTCCTAAGCAGGGTGGTACTGTCGGGCCCCTATCGGGCGATCAACGGGCGATCGGGGAGCGATGCATCTCCTCCCCTCCAGCCCTAACGTTGCCCCTGATTGGCGGCGCGCACCAGGGAGTAGGCGGAGGGGGTAAGGCTTCTTAGAAGGAATCTGCCTCTTAGAACGCGCCAGCCCTGCATCTACAGACGGGGCCCGCGCCTGCTGAAAAGCAGGGGTTCGTCCAAGAAGCCTTCCCCCCTTCCCCTATACCACCCTCTGCGCGTGGCCGACCTCTCCTGGAGCGCGCTCTGACCAGGACGTTTCGAGGCGGGGATCCGGCGGCGGCGGGGGCCTCCCACGGGTGGGGGGCCTGGCAGGGTGGAAACGACGCCAGGGCAGCGGCATCGGTATCGGTACGCCTCTTCCCTGAGATCCGACGTCGCGGAAAAATCGGAACATCGTGAAAAATCACGGCCAGAGCCCCAGACCCCATCTTTCTGCGCCGTATTTCGAGACGCATCGATCTGTGAGGGTCCCTGGGCCCGAAACTGGGCGACAACGCCCGGCTGAAAACGATTGAGACGCCAGGATCGGAGGGCTTCCTACTCGATGAGTCCTCGTCCCTGGCGGCGACGAGCTGCTGCAGCGCCAGCGGTAGCGGCCCCGCGGGCCAGTCGCGGACCAGTCGCAGCACCTCGCCCAGGCGCGCCTCAAGGCGCGCGGCGCGGCCACGCTCCGCCTCGGCCGCGCGCCGCTCGCCCTCGTTGGCGGCGCGCACAGGGTGTTGGCACGAGGGGGCGCCATCACGCGCTGCAGTGGCAACGATACGCGTCGGTCGGAAGAAGTACGTAAAAACGTGCAGTGGGGAGGCGAATACAGTAGATTGGGTCCAGGCCCTCCCAGAAAAGACCACAGCAGAACAAACACATATCGTTTCTCGAAGTAGGAAGGCGCTTGAAGTAGATTAGGATATGGGAATCCAGAAATACCTAATTTCAACGACCGACGGGTACTCGGTTCAAGTGTGACTCAGTGTGATAACGCAGCGAGGTAAAAAAAATATACATGTTGATCGCGCTTGAACCAAATCTTATACCACAGTGGTTTTACCACACTTGAGCCGAGCATCGTTACCACTGCAGCGCGGGGCCTTCTGAGAAGGCGGCGCGCTCCTTAGAAGGCAGGGGCATTCGTAGAGGAGCCTCTCAGAATCCTTCGGAGAAGGCTTCTGAGAAGGGACCCTGAGGCCTCTCGAGGAGAACTCTAGAGGCTTCTGTAAGAAGTCGTCTCAGAAGCCTCAAGGCCATTCTAAAAGGCCGCAGCCTTCTAAAAAGCCCCTCCTGCATGAGTAGAGGCCGTGCCCTCGCGCTACCCCCCATGCGCGGCCGCCCACCTCGGCGCGGCGCTCCAGCTCCGAGATCAGCTCGCCGGCCGAGTGCCCTGGCAGTCAGCATCGCATCGGGAAGGCGGGTGGGATCGGGCCGTGCGTCGGATAAGGGCCGCATCGGCACGGAGTCGGGATCAGATCGGATCGTCTGCGCCAGGATGCATAACAGCGCCATGTAAGCATCGGGCCGCATCGGATCGCCACAACATCCGAATCGGATCGGACCCGCTGGAATCGATATCAAATCGGATCGATCGAATCCAAATGATCCCTGCCTGATGGACGGAACTCGCTGGGCTCGCTGAGCGCGGGCGGCGAGTCTGCCCGGGGGTGGTCCCACCTCAAAGGAAGACGAGATCACAATACCGCCGTCAACTGGAGAACACTCGTCGCCACGACTGGATTCTCCTCGAACTTCTGGTCAGAACGCACCCCTGGAGAGAGCCGCGCAGTAGTAACATCGCCACCTGGGAGGACAACAAGATACCGAAACTGCTACTCCACGGACCTCTCCTGGGGTGCGTTCTGACCAGGATTCCGGGGCGAATCCGGCCGTGGCCACGAGGGAAGGGCAGCGGCAGCGGTACCCATACGGTGAGGGCATTGGATAAGGAACCATTGCATAAGAAATCCAGGGTCTGCAAGCCGGAGGAACGCCACTGGAGGATTGGCCATGGGCCATGGGTAGCACCGCCCGCCCTCACCAGATATTCCTTCACGAACGCCCCCAATGCATTCCTTCCTCCCCTGAGACCACCAGCAGTGCTCCGAGTCTCCCCGGGCGCCCAGCGGGTCCGAGACCCCGCGGGTCACCGAGGCCCCGCTGTGGGCCCAGAGCGCGCGGCCCCAGAGGTCCTCCAGCCCCTGGAACACGCTCCTGTGGGAACAAAAAAGCTGCATGGGCAATTTCTCGATGCTCTGAGCCCCCCGCCCTGGCGCGCGGAGCGAGCCAGGGGCGGCCTCGGAGGCGCCGCCAGGAGGAGCCAGCGCCGATCCAAGAGATCCGCGCGGACCTCCGAAGAATTAGGGCCCCTGTTTGTATCATTCGTGGTAACGCCCGTGACCAGCCCTCCCCCCTCCCCTCCCCCCCTGGTCACGTCACGATTCGCGCCGGCGCCGTTTGGCAAGGAACCATTCCCAAGCATGCTCAGACGGCGCCGGCGCGAATCGTGACGTGATCGGCCCCCTCCCCACCCTCCCGGCCCCACTGTCACGCCCGTGATAACCATGGAACATGCAATGGCCTCTTATGCTCATGCCGTTTTTGTTCCTCGAGCTCCGGAGCCGGACGCTCGGCAGGGAGCAGTGCCACGGCTGCCCGCCGACGTCGGCCTCCAGGGTCACGTCCACGGCCTCTCGGAGCAGGGCGAGTTGAGACAACGGCAGCTCAAAATCGGCCCCCGCCTGGGCCCTTCCCGTGGTTCGAATGCACCAGTTCTTCGACCTGCGTCCAGCCGTCGCGGCGAGGGGCCCCGAAGGCCAACTACCGTTGCATCCATTCGCCCTCCTCTCGTTGCGTGAGAATCGACCCCTGACCAAAAAAACAGGACTGCCCACGCTGGACATTGATTGACAACTATCCGTCGCACGCTCTCTACTTATGAGCCACGTCTACATCGCAGAGCGGGGGGGGGCTGGGAAGGAGCATGCCACTCCTTGACAGAAACCTTATCCCGATGTGTGGCCGCCGCGATCGCCGCGGCGACCTCCCCAGAAAGACAATTATCGGGTTGGGAGGATCGGGTTTGGAAGATACGGGGCGCGACTGTGTAAGAAGCATACTCGACATACGCGATAATACTGATAATCTGGTCATCTCTCCCAACCGCATCCTCCCAACCCGACAAATTGTCTTTCTAACCTCTAAGAACGACCCTGAGTTTGGCGTAGACTTTGTGCGGGGCCAGATATCACGCAACGACCCTGTCGGCTACACGCAAGAGTGACCCCAGGCAAGAGCGACCTTCGGTGCCCGGCAGAAAAGGGAAAGGGGTGGCCGCACCTGGGCGCGCAAGCTGCTGCTACCGCTTCGCGCTCAGCGATCGGGGGACCTCATTGGGCCCGCAACAAACCCTGAGATCCGACGTCTCGAAAAAATTTAGAGACCGTGAAAAATCACGACTGGAGCCCCGGACCCCATCGTTCTACGCCATTTTTCGAGCCGGATCCATATGTGAAGGCACCAGGGCCCGAAACTGGGCGACAACGCCCGGCTCGAAAACATTGAGCCGCCAGGATCTCAGGGAAGGCCACTCCGGCGAAAGGTCACTCTTAACGTCTGGTCAATTCCCCGAGCCTCAAGGCTGTAGCACATCGGCGGCCCCTCCTCCGTGGCGGGTGCCTCCTCCGGCGCGCAGCGCTGCGCTGGGCACCACACCGCGCCGGACAGCCTGGTGGCGACGGCCGCCACCTCCTGGCGGTGAGCGTCGCGCAGCGCGACGCCCACGGCCTCGACCTCCAGCGGCTGCAGCCTCTGGCGCGAGTGAGGGGAGGGGGGGGGCACGAGGTCCTGAGATCCTGGCGTCTCAACTTTTTCCAGTCGGGCGTGTTCACCCTGTTTCGGGCCCTGGGACGGGGACACACCGGTCCGGCTCAAAAAATGTCGCAGAAAGATGAGGTCCGGGGCTCTGGCCGCACGATGCTGCAATTTCTTCGCCACGTCGGGTCTCAGCGGGGAGGCGGGTCCTGGCAGGGCCGTGTAGAGGGCGCCCATCCAGGCCAGCTTCTCCGCCCCGGGGCGTCCTCCTGGGACGGTCCGTCGGGGCTCCCGGGCAGGAGCGGAGGCGGCGGCCACAGAAACCTCCCCAGACGAGCGATGTCTCGATCTTTGCTACCCGCGGTCCCGGGAGGTACCGGCCCAGGGCCGGTTTTCCCTCCCGAGTCGTTTCTGACGGCCCCGCGGCCTGGCGAGGGCCCATGGCAGGCCGAAGACGACGAGAAACCTCCGTCGTCGTGCTTGTTTCCTAATAGCACCGGCCCCTGAGACCCGACGCCTCAGAAAATTGCAGCATCGTGAAAAGTCACGGCGGGAGCCCTGTAGACCACATCTTTCTGCATCGTTTTTCGAGCCCGATCGATCTGTAAGGATCCTGGGGCCCGAAACCGGGCGAAAACGCCCAGCTCGAACATATTGAGACGACTGGATCTCGAGGACGTGCCTGGGCTTCCTCCGGGGCCCCTGCAACTCGCGGGCGAGCCTCTGCTGCCCCGTCGAGAGCCCGGCAGGGTCCCCCGCGCCGCGGTGCCGCACGCGCAGCCCGCGCTGCAGCCGCAGCACCTGGGCGCGGGCCAAGACGTCCGCCGGCTTCCACCGCTGCGGTGGGGGCATTCGTGGAGGAAGGTGCCCAGGTGGCTTCAGGAATCCTCCAGGGTCCCCAGACCCCTTCGGGTCATGAAAAAATCACGGCGGGAGGGTCTTCGCCATTTTCAGCTTCTGGGGGCCCCTACTGGACCCCGAGACCGTCAAAAAACGGATCGGGATGAAAAACCTGTCCTGGAGAATGAATGGGTCGAGACATCTGGGGGTAGACGCTGTGAAAGAATCACGACGTCAGAGGTCTGGGGCATCTGGGGACCCTGGAGGATTCCTTACCTGATGAGGGCTGGATTCCATGTCTGAGGTTTCCTTTCCCAGTGCCCTCACCGTTGGGCAGGTTCGTGCCGTGACGACGTGACCACTTCGGCGCTGGTTTCTGACACCGCGTGGATCCCTCCACCTTGGACGATCCCTGAGATCCTGTTAGCATGTGTGAAGCGGGTCTGGAGGGAAACGGGTCCTGGACCATGGGGCCTTCACCCAGAACGGGTTCCTCATCCGGGATCAAATTTCTGACAGCCCCAGGGCCTGTGGAGCGACCCGAGGGCTCCGAGGGCCCGAAAACGGCGAAAAACCTCACGACCCGTTTCCATCAGGTAGGGGGACGAGATCTGTCCATGTCTACCGCCGCTGGCTAGGCCAGCGGCGGCCAGACCCGCTTTCTCCATGGTGAAGCCTGGCGCCTACCTTTGTTTGTTCGCACCGGGCGTTCTCGCCTGGTTTTTCCGGCGCCGGGGCCCTCGCGTGTATCAGCGCGGCTCCAGGACTGGGGTCCAGGGCTGTGGTTGTGAGCTTTCACCATGTTCGGGCGGGTGGTAATGGTGGGTGACCTGCACGGGCGGCGAAGGAAGGGGCCCACAATGAGCCCATTAGGACCCCTTTTGGAGCCGGCAGGGGCCCCAAAGGGGCCCTGAAGAGCCCTTTGGGGGGCTTTTCCTTCACCCCCCATGTAGGCCCCCCCCCATTACCAGCCGCCCGAGTCTAGGGCTCCGGTTGTGAGTTTTCACGATGTTGCTTTTTGGTTCGCTGCGTTGGATCTCAGGGTTTGGCTTTGGTTTCTGACACTGGGTGGGTCGTCCCACCTTAAACGATCGGCGGCTGTTCGATCGCCAGGTCGGTCCACATTGGCCGATTCTGGGCCACCAACGGCGACCAAGTCCGCGGCAAGGCCGATGCCGCGTCGACACGACACGAATCTGCCGTAACGGGAGTCACCGCGGCCGACGTTTTGGGGGTGGACTTGTATCCTGAACGGTGGGCTCTAATGAAAGGGCGCGGTGAGCTTGGGCACCTGGTAGGGCCGCCACATCCCCTTCTGCAGAGCGAGGCAGAGAAGAGGGTTCGGCGGCAATTCATGGGAGACTCCCACACCATCTTGTCGGATCTTCCGAATCGACGCGAATCGACGCTAGCCGACGCTGATCGACGCGCTATCCCATCGATTAGCTGACGCTGGTCGACGCTAAAGACGGAATGATGTGCCACCGAAAAATGGGAGCGGAGCGAAGCAAAGCGGCGGCCAAAACATCCGTCCAACAGGACGGCTCCATAGTGCGCGATGCGCGTGTGGAGGCCGAAAATGCATCAGGCATCGGCCCGGTGAAGCAGTGAAACATCATGCAGCAGGCACGCTTCTTCCAGGGCCCCAGAGGATCTTGAGAACAATACCTGGAACTCCCACCGAAAGAGGGGTGTTGGCGCATTAGTCGGCGGCCAGCCTCTGGGGGAAGTGAAAAGGCGCGGGCCTTCTCAGAAGGCTCGGAAATTCCCACGCCTTATGAGAAGTTTTCTAAGCCTTCCCCGAAGACACAGAAAACATCTCAGAAGGCGCGAGAGCTTCTGAGAAGTCCCGCCGCCTTCTGAGAGGGCCTTCTCCTTCTCTCTTCCCCCCCTCGCTCGCCGCCGAAGAGGGGGGTTTGGCGCATCATGGCCCGAAGCAGGGGGGCGGCGGCGAAATGCAGCCCGCTGCTGCAGAGCTCGGTCGTAAGGATGCTCGGCAAGCTCTGGCCAGCCCGGCGGAGGGCACGGGGGAGGGCCCGGGGGCGGGCCTGGGGGCCGGCGGGGGGGGGGGGAGGAGCGCCGAGCTCGGCCAGATCTGAGGGGGGAGCTCCTGAAGAAGGAGGAGAAGAAGGATAAGAATACGAAGGAGAAGAGAAGACAAGAGAAGAAACGAGAAGAGGAGAGAAGAGAAGAGAGGAAAAGATAAGATAAGTGGAAGAGGAAGAGGAAGAGAAGAGAAGGGAATGTAAGAGAAGAGCAGAGACGATAATACATGATCGAAGAGTCCACATGGGAAGAATCCAGGGAGCAGCCGCGACTGCGGGATGGGAAAGAATCCACATCGAGCCGCATCGCCGTCGTATCTGCGATTGGGCGCGATCCTCCGAGCCCGTTTACTCGGACCCTATGTGGAAGACCTGGATCTGGGGTTGGGGTTTGGGGGTCCAGAGGGGCCCCCAGACCCTCGTGCTCCCACCCCCGCTCTCCGCTCTCCGAGCGCCGCCGCCGATCTCCAACAGCCCCCTGTCTGCCAACGCCGCAATGTCCTCGTGACGCGGGCCCCCTTGGGGGCCCCACCAAGAACGCAGGCAGCGAAGCCGCCGCCTTGTACCGTTCACGAACTTGGATGTCTGACTTCTGAGAAGTTTGTGTGTGGAGAAGCCCTTGTCCGCGGCCTCGCGGGCTGGGCACCTGGGCCGCGACCCAGCAAATGCAGGGCATTTGTTTCGCTGATGCCCCGCGCGGAACGTATCCTTGCGTCCTTGTATCCGCGGGATCGCGCCCTGGGATCCAGACCGCGAGGGCGCGGATACGGATATGTTCGTCGCTCGTGAAAAGTTCTCCGTCCAGAAATCGGGCCTCTGGCGGCTGTTCGGGACGATCCTGGCACCCCTGGAACGCCCTCGGAGAGGCGCAGCTGCTAGAAAGCGCCCGGAGGCTGGAAGGCCTGAAGGAACCGACAAAAACGCCCGAAAACCTCGAACCCTGACATCTGCCGAAATGATTTTTCAATCCGCGGCAATAGAGACTTCGACCTCTTCCCTGGAGGTAGTTTTTCGTCATGGATCCATGTTTGAAAGTTGTTCGTTTGTTCGCTATGATGTTTAGTCGTAGTTTCGTCATTTTCGTCAGGCAGTTTAATCCCGAGGCCTGAAAGCGGCCCCCGATTTCTAATGAGAAGCGCACGTTGGAAAAAATGTCGGAGATCTGGGAGCCCCCAGAAGTCCCAACCCTTTCCTCAGGCTGGCTTTGCATCCCGAGTCGGTTTTGACAGTGCCGGGGTCCAGGCAGTTTGAAGGGGGCCGGGGAGGCCCGCCAGCAGCTTCGCCTCAAGCGAAGCCAAGCTCCAGCTCGGTTGTATCGTAGTAACGATAGTCCCACTGCAAGAGGGGAAGCCATGTCAAGTAAAAGGGGATGCCTTTTAGTATCGATAGCGATAGTGTGCCTCGCGATGAAGCGCAGTCGAATTTAGGCGGCCGGCCGCTTGAACCAAGACGGCCGCGGGCGCACACTCGCTTCCGCTCCTAACGTCCCTCAGCTCACTTTAGAGTCGGGGGGGGAGGGAGACGAAGCGTGCGTCCGCCACCTGTAAAACGAGAACAATTCAGCAGCTAACCTATACAAAGATAGGAGAGGAGACGGACCCAAAGGCGTTGGGCCCGTCAGCGAGTTGCCTCGCAAATGTAGGGCACGCGCATCAGGCGGCGTCGGAACTTGATGTCTGGCCGGCCCGATATGGCGTATGCCTCTTCAGGTCGTGTTTGAAGGTCTGTATACCTCCCATGACTTGTCGGAGCATTTCTCTGTCAATGCTCCCTTTTGTGAGCCCATCCGCAGTCGCATCGCGGGTATCACACCACTGAATACTATGCACGATTCCGCGCTCCATCATCTGTCGTATCCAACTTATGTGTCCTAAAAGGGTACACTCAGCCGGCTTCTTCAAGTCTTTGCTTGACAAGGACTTAAAGACAGACTCAGCATCGATGGTCAGAGTGACCTTGATGCACAGGCCACCCAACTCACGTATATCTTTCAACTGAGTGGGTGTGAGTGGCCCCGCGTGGAGCTCATGCAGAGTTACAATCGTGGGATAACAGTCCTCCAAATTATGGGCTGCTGCAGGTGTCTCTGCTGCATAGCTTGAGCGGACTTGCAAGCGGTGAGACTTGCAGTGCGCATCAATCAAGTGAACGACAGGCTTGCCAGATGACGTGTTTCCACGTCGTAGCAGGTTTGCCCCGCGAATGCCATAGCCTTTGACGTCGTCATCGGCGTCTCCACTCAGGCGCGATAGCCTGAGTCACTATGTAAGTCGACCTCGCCCGCGGGGTTCACCGCCTGGTAGACGATCTTCTTCGGGCAGGCCTGCAACTCTCTGGCAATCGCGTTTAATCGTCGCACTTGAATATTGGTCGGTTCTTGGACGCGCTGGAGGGACACAACATAGACCATCAACCAGACCTGGGTGATCAATGCGCTTGCCGGCGCACCTCTGAGGCTGACGAACAAATCTGCCACCACCTTGGTCGCTTGAGCGTCAGCGCCCGCGCCGGTCAATTCAGGATGTTGTATAGGACGGAGCTGTGTACTGTATTCATCTTGATCCAAAGTGACGTTGCCGTCCTCATCTTTGGTGTACCTCGCAGCGCAATTCGTGCATGTGTGTTTGTTGAGTTTACACTTACCAAAGGTATCCTCAACACATGTGACATACTTGTCAGCGGTGTCCTTAGTACCGGCCATGTTAATGTCATCAACATGTTTTGCCGTGAGCAAGTTAGTTCTCGTCTCGAACTCCTCGTCATAAGACGTAGGTCGGAGGCCAAATCCTCTGGTGGTTCTCCTGAGCTTCAGCGAGAAAGCCCGTGGGGCGTCCTTAGTGCCTGTGCCCGGTTTCAAGCACTGCAGGCAGCGCTTTGACTCGTCGTAGTTTTCAAACCCTGGAAGAGCACGGAGCA